TTGATCAACCTCGGCGAGCATGCGCAGCGAGGGGTACGGTGGCTTCACGTCGTCTTCGCTCCGTCTTCTTCTCCGGGGGGGGTACGTGTGTGTCAGTGTACCTACTGATGAACGGATCTACTTACGCATGGCTATAGGTAGTCACTCGCCCATACAATGGTAAGCATTTCCACTAGTATATAGCGTTACTATAGTTGGTACTGTACATTAGAGTTAATTAAGTTAACCCTTTGGACGCCATGGGTATCTCCTTAAATAAGCATAAATTGATGTATAACATATTAACGCCTAGTATTATAGCCATATATAAATTCTTATGGACTTATGGAGGCTCTGGGCATATTTATGTGTCCGTGGCTTGCTAAGGTACAGTACAACATGTTAATGATAGACTGTACATATAATACCTGTGAGAGTCTCATAAGTGAAATAGGTTCTTTTCCCGCTTCATAATCTTCCTTCTTTCTATAGTACTTCAGATGGTCTTCAATTACCTTCAGAAGTATGTATGTATGTATGTGTGCATTACGTGTATACATGTCTGCTGTTAGCTACATAATTGTACACAGGGTTGCCTGTGTTGTGTTGTGTTGTGTTGTAGATTCGAACCCCTACCAGCTGAGTTGCCCTGGTAGCTCAGTTGGTAGAGCGCTCGCCTAGACTGCAGAGTGTCGTGGGTTCGAATCCCACCCAGGACAGCTCAGGTGTAGTTGACTTGTTTGCCTTGCCTTGCCTTTCTACCTCGCTACCAAGTTGTTGAGACACACATGTACAAAGACAATCAGTGCAGTTTAGTTCTCAAGAACCTCGAAATGAATGACTCACTGAGAAATTGTATTGTAACTAACTTTATTTTGCACCCATTTCACTCCTTTATTAGTGAAACAAATAAGGAAAAGCTGGGACTATTAAATTGTCCTTTATGCAGAGGTATTCCTTTAATTAACGGAGGACAAATTGACGTACGCTCAGCGGATACAGTTGTAACCGAAACGTCCCATGTGTAACGAACTGCGCTCAGGTTTGAACACTGCAAGTCACGCGTTTTAGTTTTGCATTTGTTATGTGTAGTTAACCTAACGTGTGCGTGGTGTGTTTTAACCACTTCATATCAATCACTGCCTGCGTAGTGTGCAAACTTGTATACTGGCGCAATGGTGTGGCAAATATGGGCAAAGGAGCTGGGCTTTTTTGGAGACTTTTGCTGTGTATTGTTCAGTATGTATGTAGCTAATGTAGCGTTGATGTTTCCTCGTGACTCAGTGGCTGTCTCTGTGTGAATGCCATGTGGATCTCCTGGCCGTAGCTACAGCTAAAGATGCATGGGGCCACGCTGCTTGGTAGAGGACTGTAGCTGGGTCTTAGTAAACTACGGTGTACTGCGCCGTAGCAGGTCTACGGCTTCCACCGTAGTACAGCGTTGCTATGGCGTTGCTAGCTCTTACTACGGTACGGTAGTGGGAACTTATTTTGGTGTGTACTGTAATGTAGCGTTGATGTTTCCTTGTGACTCTGTGGCTTATAAGTGCATACATACGTGTCCATACTCTGGAACCTATTATAATGGATACAGGATACTTGGTAAACCTTTCTGTAGAGGTGTCCATATTATGAGGTAGTATAATACACTAATGTATTAGTATGGGGCAGAACCAAGTGTCCCTTATGGAGAGGTGTCCTTTATTCAGAGGTGTCGGAGGTAAACTAATGGTATTAGTATGGGGCAGAACCAAGTGTCCCTTATGGAGAGGTGTCCTTTATTCAGAGGTGTCGGAGGTAAACTAATGGTATTAGTATGGGGCAGAACTACAGGTGTCCCTTATGGAGAGGTGTCCTTTATTCAGAGGTGTCGGAGGTAAACTAATGATGGTATTAGTATGGGGCAGAACCAAGTGTCCCTTATGGAGAGGTGTCCTTTATTCAGAGGTGTCGGAGGTAAACTAATGTATTAGTATGGGGCAGAACCAAGTGTCCCTTATGGAGAGGTGTCCTTTATTCAGAGGTGTCGGAGGTAAACTAATGGTATTAGTATGGGGCAGAACCAAGTGTCCCTTATGGAGAGGTTGTCCTTTATTCAGAGGTGTCGGAGGTAAAACTAATGTATTAGTATGGGGCAGAACTACAGGTGTCCCTTATGGAGAGGTGTCCTTTATTCAGAGGTGTCGGAGGTAAACTAATGATGGTATTAGTATGGGGCAGAACCAAGTGTCCCTTATGGAGAGGTGTCCTTTATTCAGAGGTGTCGGAGGTAAACTAATGTATTAGTATGGGGCAGAACCAAGTGTCCCTTATGGAGAGGTGTCGGAGGTAAACTAATGGTATTAGTATGGGGCAGAACCAAGTGTCCCTTATGGAGAGGTGTCCTTTATTCAGAGGTGTCGGAGGTAAACTAATGTATTAGTATGGGGCAGAACCAAGTGTCCCTTATGGAGAGGTGTCCTTTATTCAGAGGTGTCGGAGGTAAACTAATGGTATTAGTATGGGGCAGAACCAAGTGTCCCTTATGGAGAGGTGTCCTTTATTCAGAGGTGTCGGAGGTAAACTAATGTATTAGTATGGGGCAGAACCAAGTGTCCCTTATGGAGAGGTGTCCTTTATTCAGAGGTTTAGCTGTATTCACATTAGTCAGAGGAATTGAGAGAGAAAAATTAGGAAAACGCACGATGAAGAAAAACTTTTTCCAGCCTTTCTTGAGCACGCTGGACTGTCTCTGCTTCAGCAGGTAGCCTTCCAAATGAGGAGGCGCTTTGTTCTGCAAAGGAAAAAAATTGGGGGGTGTATTTCCCTTGAGAGAGAGAAATTTGTACATTTCAGCAGGTCCAAAATATTAAAAATGCGACTGAGGACAATAGCATAAAGTGATGTTATGGGACAGTCAACATCCATTCAATATAACGAGGACATGCGTACTGTAGCTAGCTACATTCAGTCAGCTGGTGCGTGCTCTAAACTATAAAGACACTGGATAAGGATAAGAGGGCGAAAGGAAAAGGTTTTAGATCTCCATAACGTACACTAACGACGTGGTACACCGACAAGGGGCTGCGCGACAAAACGTCGTCGCCAACACAACGGTAGTCGTGTTGACGGCTTGTCGACTAACCAGATCAGGCTCTTGTTCCAGCTCAGCCGCCATACCTTCCCTTCTCTCGGCTTCCTTACCCCTCGACCAACTCTAAGTAATCCGAAAGGCGCCCTAAAGTAACCGGTAGCGGTTTTTCGTCGTAAGGTCAGTCAGTAGGTTCTCACGGCCGGCCAGCACGGTCGATCGGGGTCCACACGAAGCTCCTCCCCTTTTCACTTTTCACATTACATAATGCGCTGACTTGGTGTAAATGCGCACGCGCAAATCGTATATCACGTGGTTTGCACGTGACACCCGGGAAAACCAAACAAAAAACGCTAGCGAGACAGGCATGAGTGCAGGAGCGGTTGTGGGTCGTGTGGAGGGAGGTGGAGGGCGGAGAAGAAAGCGACGGGAGTTGACTGAGGAACAGAAACAGGAGATCGGGGAAGCGTTTGCTCTGTTTGATTCAGACAAAGATCAGGCCCTGGACTACCACGAACTCAAGGTCTCCACGGAGCACCCCATCTCCCACGACACCCCTGAAATGAGCACACCGCTCTAAAAAGAACACTTTCCTTAAAAACAGTTCTTGAATGCAATATTTAACCCCACCTAACTCATACGGACGGTATCTTCTGTCCCACTTGGGTCCACACTGTTTTGGGTAACTCTCTCGCTGTCCGGTGTATGTTTCTCCTGCTAGGTCGCAATTCGGGCCCTGGGCTTCGACGTGAAGAAAGCTGACGTGCAGAAGATAATGAATGACTTTGACAAAGACGACAGTGGGAAGATTTCGCTGGCCGACTTCACAGAGATCAGTAGGTCACTCGTCTCTCTATGGAAATCAAGCACTTCGTTGCTTACACATAGCCCTGCATTTACACATAAGCTTAAGATAGTTTTACCCAGTTACACCTGTCAGCTGCACATTGCCAAGGATGAGTCACATTATTTCTTGCCTGTCTCAGTACATACACCCTATTTACAGTGGCGCAACATTAGAGAGACTATGATTGATAATAAATTGCCTTTGAATAAAGATTGCTATATTATTTCTCACTCTGTTGACAGTGACAGACTGGGTTCTGAAGAGAGACCCAAGAGAAGAGATACTCAAAGCTTTTCAACTCTTTGACGAAGACAAAACAGGTATATACAACATACATAGCGTACGTTCTGATATTTGCTTAAATCTCTGATTAATTATTTTTCACTCGTGTTTGTTCGCCATAATAATGTGTTGCATTCATTCTACCGTGGAGCCCCTCTCTAAGGACACCCTGAAAATATGACACCTTTTCTTTCCGAGGAACAGTTGTACTTGCCACACCTGAAATAGGGACACTTCAATAATTGACACTTTCTTCTGTCCCACTGGTAGATTTTGTCCATATTAGGATTCCACTGTAGTATAATATTATACAAATGCAGACATCTGTAGAGCACTTGTGTTGTGTTGTGTTGTGTGTTTTTCAGGAAGGATAAGTCTGAGAAACTTGAGACGGGTGGCCAGAGAGTTGGAGGAGAATATGAGTGAAGAAGAACTCAGAGCAATGATTGAGGAATTTGATGTAGACAGTGACGGAGAGAGTGAGTGTTCACGAGGGTTGTCCAGCATTGCCATAAAAGGAATCCCATTCCCTTATTTCTGGGGTTAAATATTGAATCTGTTGGGAGAAGAATAGGTGTCTTTTGTAGTGCTTATTTCGTCCACCAAACGTTGCCATATTATTTATCCATTCTATTATCCAGTAAATCAGGAGGAATTCGTTGCCATAATGACTGGTGACACTTGACAATTACTCAGACATATGAACTGACTGTAACATATACATAGCCTTTGTATCACTTGAGACATACAACATTATGGTACATCTCCGTCCTTTGACCAAGACACAAGAGTCTCACACATGATTAATCCATGCAGAGAAGTTGTCCGCTGCCAGGAGACAGCACTTTTATTTGTGTCAGTGTTATATAAATTATTTTGGACCCATCACACACAAGTTCCACAAGACCATTATATCACAAAGTATATATGTGTATGAAATATGACCATGGACATAATTATACCAAACACTGTAAAAAAAATTTGTATAATACTAAAAAGGAGACACGTATTTACACACACTGTTAACATTTGCAACCGTGTGGTTCAGCACTTATTGTGTGGTCTCTGAGCATTATGCTAGAGTCAGTAAAGTTGAAGCTATCTCTCTGTTCGTGTAATCTCACCATTCTGTCTACCAGCTCATCAAACGCCTGCAGGGAAAAAATTGTATAATGAATGTCATAATGAAGGTCAAATTGTTGCAATATAATATGCCTGCAACAAAAAATGTATAATGCGTGTCATATAATGAAGGTGTTTTTGAGAATACACACATTCTGGTATGCAATGGTATGGCAAATGCCTGCAGTGAAAAAATGTATAGATATACACATGCAGTACATATCGTAATGGTGTATATAAAATGTAACAAGTAGAACAGCTTAGTCCCCTACCTCATCTATACCACGGCCGGTTCTTGCGCTGACTTCTGCAAAGATTGTGTCGAATTCTTGCGCAGCCTGACTGGCAGTCTCAGTGTGAATCCGTCTCTCGTCGTCGAGGTCACACTTATTGCCAAGGATCATTAGGACCGGCTTGTCGTTACCATCTGCACAATTCTGTAGTGTGTTCATTACAAGGTAAATAGAAGCTACAGCACAGCTATTATTATTATAGCTACATACGTAAAATCTATGACACAAACATAAGTTCAAACCTACCCGTGCCTGTGCTTTTGCGCTTACATTATCCGAAGTATGGTTACAATTACAGATATATAGCATGCCCCGTGTTGGCTTTTGTTTAGTTTTCCCAAGTGGCTATCATAGTACAGGAATTGAAAATAGCTGCCTCTGCAGTTTTATGTTAAGTCTATGGAAAACTCACTGCTGAAATGTCGTGGATCCACTTTGAGATGTGGGAGAAACTGTCTGGATTAGTTATGTCATAGACAATCACCACACCCTGAATTAGACAGAATATTTGAACCACTGTGGCTGACAAAACTATCATAGCTATATAATTATGATGCTAGGAATGTACCAAACATGCTCATTAAAGTGCTACTGTACTCCAATACGTCTATTGAAAAGGTGTCCTTATTTGTCATGGCAGTATACCAATTTTGGCACAGTTCTGTTTGTATGGGTATAGGTTAGCAATTTGGCATTACGAAGCACTTTGTGGATCTAAAATGCCACCTAGCTACACGACATAACAAAAACCAGCCACCTATTCATAATATGACCTTGGCTCCTCTGTAGAAGCCTTTTCGTATGGTGTTGTATCTCTCTTGCCCGGCCGTGTCCCACACCTGGAGCTTATACTTCTTATCGTTCAGTTCTACAGTCTTAGTCTTGAAGTCAACCCCTGCAATCACCAGGCAATATTATACTGCGATTTACTACCATACAATGTACTGTGATTCACTACCATACAATGTGCTGTGAACTTACAATCGTTGTCTGGAAGGGGAAGGATAAGGAGTTGATTGAAAAAAGGTTTTCACCTCACCATGTAAATGTGATTTACTGCTTACTATCATTTGTTGTCATGTGGGGAGGATGGGAAGTTATTCAGCATTGTTAGGGCTGGGCTTTTGCATGCGAAATGTAAACTCCTAACTCATCCTACAACTTTATGAGAACTGCTTAGCTACACTGTCATGTGGGGAGTAGGAGGAGGTTATATAAGGAAATGCAGCTTTGTTAGGCCTAGTATTTGCAAGCATCATTGGAAATGATTTAGACATTCACTTGTATTTGGGAATATAGGTCTGTTTGCGCTACGTCGTACATACACGCCCATGTCGCATGCAGAAAACCAACACTAAAACATGACCATATTGAAAGCTCATAAAGCGTAAACTAACGCTAGCGACTGACTCATGAACTGTGCATGCACACGACGAACGTTCCACACGGACCACACTGCGTGCATGGGCTTTCCAACCCCTCAACCAGCCCCTCCCCAATTTGGCTTGCACAGGCGCTCCGGTTTATAGCTCGCCCCCTTTGCGTTCACCGACCGATTGTGCTGAGGAAGTTCTCCCTGAAGAGGTCCTGGGTGTAACGGAGAATGAGACAGGTCTTGCCGACCGCCGTGTCTCCGATTATCACAACTTTCAACAGCGCTTCGAAGGTCTCCGCCATTCCCAGCTAACAAGCTTGTAGAGTCCCGGAAACGAAAACATGCCAACGTAATTGATGCTGGGCGTTATTTAGAACACACGCGGAAATTTGCGTGACGACGAAGTTTCCGCAAAAGCGTGCAGGCACTTCCGCTGGGTGCCTTTTTACAGCTGACGAGACGGAGAGGCAGTCTGGAGGCCCTGGCGTTTCTTCTCCAGCAACACTGAGCCGTAGTGAAGCTCATCGTTTGCAATTCTGCTCAAAAAACGATTCAGGTTGTTGTGCGAGGACCTAGAAGAGTGAAAACTATGCTCCGATCAGTTTCCCGCGCATTCACGCGTTTTTTGACGGCGCGGGCTGCCATTAGCAGTTCGCCTTCAATTGCAGCAGCAAGGACCCACACCACTAGCCCTGCGAGGTATTTTTCGCAGACAATGCATGGGGAACCCCCTTCAATTAACCGGGCCTCCTTCGCTACTGTGTCTGATTCTCATTCCTCCAGTCCGCAGACCGGGATCCTGATGTTGAACATGGGAGGACCTCAGACTCTGGATGAAGTCCACGACTATCTCCTGAGAATATTCAGTGACAGGGACATCATGCAACTCCCTGCTCAAAAGTAATTAGCTACCTTACATGGAAAATTTTTGTGACCTATAATTTGTACTCGCGATTGCATGGATTCAGACGTAAATTTTTATTGTACAGTAAAGTATTTACTCTCGGAATTTGATCGGACAAATAATATTTGCCACAATGAAAAGAACGCCAATAAGAGCTGAGTTTTTAATGGGAGAGAGTAGATTTTGGGCCCTGCCTGCGGGAGCTCAGCAGGAACAGTGCTCCACTTGTGGATTTGTTTCAGTTCACACCCAGGACTGCTATTTTTGTGAATGTGTGTTGTTGAATTGCTTGCTTTGCATCCGTGCAGCCAACTTGGTCCCCTGATTGCTAGGAGAAGAACTCCCGTCCTCAGGAAACATTACGAGGAAATTGGAGGGGGTTCCCCCATAAAGAAATGGACGGACATCCAGGGACAAGGTCTGGTGAAAGTCCTCGACGAAATCAGTCCGGAAACTTCTCCTCATAAGTACTACATCGGATTCAGATACGCCCATCCACTGACTGAGGACGCCCTCGACCAAATGATCAGGTACATATATATTGCATGTTTGGATGGTTCAAGTATTATAGGGGCAGTAATAAGGGCTGCATTACAGCTGGACATACAGTACGCAGGGCCTAGTGTGAGAATGAATGTTACAGCCAACTGCGGAGAGCAAAGAAGAGCCCATTGTAAAAATGTTGTCCAGCGGTCTCTGTAGAGTTGCATAAGGCCAGTTTCCCGTTTTTTTTTCTTTAACAGTTTTGCCCTTATATTCTACCGTTAATGTTAGCTGACAGTATTATGCAAGTAAAAAAGGGTCTACTGGGCTTTTCCCTTCTCCCTCTCATCCTGTTTCTCTTTCCCTTCCTATACCCCTCCCTCCCTCTCCTCCCTCCCTCCCTCTCTTCCTTCCCTCCCTCCCTCTCCATCTCCAGTGATGGAATCGGGAGAGCTGTGGCCTTCAGCCAGTACCAGCAGTACTCGTGCTCCACGTCAGGCAGCAGTCTGAACCAGGTCTATCGCCACCTCAGCAAGGTCGGTGCACTCTCCGGCCCCATGCAGTGGTCTATCATTGACAGATGGCCAGTCCACAAGGGTCTAGTGCAGGTGAAGGATTACATAATACTGTACTATATACTTGGACTCCTAATCATACTATATATTTAACCCTTAGCCAGCCACGTGCATACATACCTGCCTTTTGCCTTTTCTCCAGGTTTTTGTAGATAACATCCGATCAGAGCTGGCTAAGTTCCCGGATGACGTAAGAGATGATGTCATAATTCTATTCTCAGCGCACTCTCTACCTCTCAAGGTATGCATAGGCACAACGTAGTAGAAATTCTGTCCATGTTATATATAGCACCTTAACGAAATCATTTCACCACATTAAAAGGTTGTTAACCGTGGTGATCCGTATCCCCAAGAAGTGGGTGCCACGGTGCAGTATGTAATGGAGGAGTTAGGCCACACCCATCCGTACCGGCTCGTCTGGCAATCCAAGGTATGTGTATCAGTGTGTGTGTCCACTTATGTTGTTGGTTCGTTGGACATCCCCCAATGCTCCTTATGAAGGCCCTATATTATAGGTCATTATGTTTTCCCTTGCCTTCACCCCAACAATAAGAAAACTTGTTCGTGCATTTACTTTGTGGATGTGGGTATTTTAAATTCATAAACTTTTCTCTCCTCCCTCTCTCCCTCTTTTCCTCCCTCTCTCCTCCCTCCCTCCCTCTTTTCCTCCCTCTCTCCTCCCTCCCTCCCTCTTTTCCTCCCTCTCTCCTCCCTCCCTCCCTCTTTTCCTCCCTCTCTCCTCCCTCCCTCCCTCTTTTCCTCCCTCTCTCCTCCCTCCCTCCCTCTTTTCCTCCCTCTCTCCTCCCTCTCTCCCAAAGGTGGGCCCACTGCCATGGCTCAGCCCCCAGACGGAAGACGTCATTAAGGCTCTGTCAAAAAAGGAAAAAGAATCTTCTCCTCGTCCCCATAGCCTTTACCTCGGACCACATCGAGACTCTTCACGAACTGGATATTGAATATGCCCAGGAACTTGCTCATGAGGTACGGCTTTAAGGGAAATGTGGAAGTATAATTGAATATATCCCAAAATTAACTATGGCAAATTACCTAAAGAGTGCAAAAAATAATATGGGTGGGCTATATTTAAAAAGTGAGATATATGGGATTTTGCAAAAGATTGTCTCCTTACAAAACACGGTAATTTCATGTCAAGGGGGTATAAATGGCCCTTTGTGGGTTACACCATTCTGGTTCTCAGCCCTTCCAATTTATTATAAGTGTACTGAAAGCAGAAACGTTGGTGCACTAGGCCCTCTTGATCATTTCTACAAACCCCTGTGCTGGAATCTAGCCATGTGTAACTGGACACTTTCCTGTTTTTTGAAAACCGATTCATGTAACATGTTTTGCGTTCAGGTGGGTATCCAGAATATTCGACGGGTGGCCACTCCAAATGATAACCCTGTCTTCATAAAAGTGAGTTCATAATTAATTTTGAGTGTACCCCATTTCGTCTTTTCTTGCTGTCCCTAATCCTGTCCCCCCTTATCACTCTGTCTGTATGATTTTGCTTTTTTGGAAAGAATGTGAGTGGAAGAAAAGACAAACTAACCTTCCATAATAGTTGGACTATAGCCGGAGTATGGAATAGTAACATTAACTTTGAGTTATCCTGTACATACCGCACTATGCCCCCTTCCCCCTTTCACCCCTTAATAAAGGTTTGAACAGTTTTGCATTTCTTTAAAGAACGTCAGTGGAAGAAAAGACAAACCAACCATCCACAATAGTTTGCCTGTAGCTGGAGTATGGAATAGTAACATTAAGTTTGAGTTAGCCATTCACACACTGCACTATGCCCCCTTCCCCCTTTCACCCCTTAATAAAGGTTTGAACAGTTTTGCATTTCTTTAAAGAACGTCAGTGGAAGAAAAGACAAACCCACCTTCAATAATAGTGTGACTAGAGCTAGAGAATGGCATTATCTTTGACTCAATACCAAGCCCAGCAACGTGCACACGTAATTATGTTGGTATATATTATATATACACCTATATTTTGTTGTTGTATGCCTACAATTTAACTCGTGACGATCCTGCGAATCAGTACTGCAGATGTACAAAGATATGCAACCTTCTCTCTATCTGTGTACTTCTCTCGTTCCAGGCGCTGGCGGACATTGTTCACAATCATCTTTGTTCCGGTCGCAAGTCGTCTGTGCAGTTCTCCATGCGCTGCCCCGAGTGTACTAATCCAGTCTGCGGGAAAATGAGGGATTTCTTTCTGTCTTAGTGCTATATACAACTATTCATTGTTGACGATTCATTTCTCATGGTTTCGAATTCCACTGTTTGTGTGGCGTCACTTTTCAGGGAGTGTGTTTACGCGCACGCGCAAAAACCAAGTCACGTGACCTAGCCATGTGCACACACATACATAATTAATTATGCGCGCGCACACGTACGTATATTATACACACACACACACGTACACGCGCGTATAATAATTGCGAAGGTGCGGTTCTCGTTTTGCTATCTCGATCACGATGTCAGAGTCAGAATCGAGCCAGGAGCCGTACCAGGAGGAGCTGGTGAACGTGGCTAGAGGGAGGGACAAGGCGAGAGGCTGTTGCAGGCGGCACCCCGTGGCGTGCGGCGTGACGCTGCTCGTTGTGGCTTCTCTGTCCCTGGCTGTTCTGGGTGTCGCCCTGGGCATACGCTCCTATCTCGACCAAACGTTTCGCGACACTGTGGACCAGGTATTGCTGTGCGCAACTAGCCAGCTAACTAGCTGGTGCCGTACAACTTGTTAGCTTTGCGGAAATGTTATCACCCATGTATAGCGTAAGCCTGGCTCTCCATTTCAATCGTCCAGCTTCGATCTTGCCATGGTAGCAAACTGCATATATATACACGCCTAATGTACACGCTCCAAGTATATATGCACCAATACTTTCACACGTGTTTTTTTAGCTTGTTTGACTAGTGTGATACCTGTTTCTGCAGCAAGTTCTTCTGGTTCCCGGGACGGAGGGAACGAAGCAGTTTGAAAAGTCCAGCGCTCCACTGTACACAAAGTTCTATTTCTTCAATGTAACCAATAGCGACCAGATACTTGCCGGGGCAAAGCCGGTGGTTACGCAAGTCGGACCGTATGTCTACAGGTACGTATACATGTAAAACTGGCAGTGGAGAATAAATAATCACTCTAGTATACACACCCCTAAAATGAGGACACCTCTCTAATAAGGTCGACTTTTCTGTCCCCCAGAACAGTTCTTGCATGCGATTTAACCCCTGAAATAAGGACGCCTCACTAATATGGACACTTTCTTCTGTCCCATTGGTGTCAGTGTGTTCCACTAAGATCTTTGGCAAAGATGTGTAATGCAAGGATATTGTGACTAATGGGTAGTAAGTAATCTTACTAAGAAGCCGCAACGATACAGCCTTTGACCATGCACTCAGAGAATGTACATGTGCTACATATATACAGTATATTACTTGATGCAGCATATCATATGACCTTGATATAGTAGTGGTGATGAGTCATGGAATATACTGTATAGCATCATAGGTAGGGGAGTCTACGAAGCCAAAGGTTAGTTTGCCGTGTAGCATTCCAGGTGTAGCAGAAAAGGACCTGGGCGATTCTTAATAATGCACATCAATTTTTCAGCAGCTGATGACAATGAAAGTGTCCATATTATTAGTTGTGTGTTTGAAGCTGCTCTTAGAGAAAGTAAGGTGTCCTGTCCTCGTATCAGAGGTGTCGTTAGAGAGGGTTCCACTGCAAATTCCCTGTCTCCATTCCAGACTGTATACTCACTGTCTCTATTCCATACCGCAGGGAGTGGCGGACCAAGACTAATCTGACGTGGAACGGGAACGAGACCGTGGTGCACTACGACCTCAACGTGACTTATTCATTTGAGCCCTCAATGTCTAGTGGCGATCCAAAACACGACAAAATCATCACACTTAATATTCCTTTTTATGTGAGTTCGCTATAATAATAATAAATAGAAATGATCTCATACTCCATTCATGCTAATTAGAACAGGCTTTCCTCGAGCGGGTCCGCTCGCTCCGTGTATCTTGAAGGCACAAGAATTCACAATGAAGGGCGTGTATCGACTCCCACATGCTATCTACTACTGTAGCTAGCCCGTGTCAGACTCTCTGCGAGCTACTAGCGGGAGACCACGAGTAAAGGCTTATAGCCCAGCCCATCAATTAGCAGTATCGCGCATGCGCAGTTGGCCGAGGGTTTTCACTTTAGTGCTTTTCATTATAATGATGAGGCATTTGGATATACCCTTTAAAAGTCATATTTTTGTGTCTTGTTGCTCAGGTTCTTCTGCAGCAAATACAAGGTATCTTAGGTGGACTAAATGAAGACGAGAGGGGTCTTGTTCTACACCTGCTCGAAGAGGCTAGAAAGCTATCGGGAGAAGGAGGGCTTTTTACGGAACTAGTCGTGTACGATCTTCTCTTTGGCTACAACGACCCCCTGCTGGTCTACATCATCAAGGATATCGAAGCTCTGCCCGACGTCCTTGGGGACTGGGTCAAGAAACTTAAGACTTTTGCAAAAACCATCAACCCTCTTTTCGGATTAGAGGTAATTTCATTCATGAGTACAGTGGGACCTCCGAATAAAGGACACATGTTGGGACCAGGAATTTTGTCCTTTATAGAGAAGTATACCCTCTCTTTGGAGGTACTAGAATGATAGAAAAGTTGACGTTTTGGACCTCAAGGTCGGTCCTTGATGGAGTGTCTATTGTGTCTGTTGTCGTAGCGTCCTTAATTGGAGGTTCTATTGTAATCGCTTTGACAATTAATGTGCAGGTGTGAGCATTCGCCCTACACAAATGCTTTCTAGTAATACAACGGGTGCACTAATGTTCATACATTTTATGCATATGCTGCAGCAAAGGGAGGTTTTATTATGCATTCTTGTCCTGGCCCTTGTACTTCTATCTTTAGTAACATTTCTAAATTTAGCCTCCATTTGGTAAGACCTTGACTCCATTGTTGCACAGAACGTGACAGAGGTGGAATATGGTAACCAGGTGTACACCGGGAAAGACGACATCTCTCAGATTGGACAGTTCATCGAATGGAACGGAAACTTCGAAATCTACAAACATGGGGGATGGGGAACGCCCGCTGCAAAAATGCTCAACGGGACGGCCGGCTTTATTTTCCCTCCTGGCGTCAAAAAGGGGCATAACGTGACTGCGTTTATATCTGAACTTTACAGGTAATTGAGTCCCGGCTTGCTTCTCGTGTGTGTGAACTATAAACAGCGATGTAATAATGATGTAAGGTATATACCATTTTTCTGTTGGATGATCTGGACCTAAGTGCCACTTTCCCTCTCTCCATCCCTCCTCCCCAGATCTGGTTACTTCTCGTTCACAGAGGTCAAGACTCTCTACGGCATCAATCTCTATCGCTATGCCCTCCCTGGAGACGAGCTAGTCAGCGCCAACCAAGACCCTGGTTTCTATGCCAACGGGCCAAACGGTGTCCTAAATCTAACGGCGGATTTGCGGAGCCGGAGAGCACCAGTGTAGCTCGAAACCTCATTGCCTCGATGGCTGACAAAGGCTACTTGAATAATGTGACGGAATGACCCTGTGCGAAGTCTGCGACGATTCGACCTCGACATGAGCTATTACTGGTGACGTGGGCGTTATGCGTTCGTCGTGTCTTTTATCGGGGCAAACTTTTGGGATTTTTTAAATAACAAAAAATATTATTATGTGTCACGTGGTTGTTCGGGATTGTGGGTGCCATGGTGTTGTGACAGCACAAAAACGAGGAAACCTTTAATGATTGGAACTTTGAACATGTTAATAATTATTTTGCTTCCAGTGAATCCATTACTATTTTTAGGTAGAATGGTCTGAAAGAAGGATTTATTATTTGGTATATTTTACTGTTTATATACAAAAAGGGGGCGTCCTCAATTTGCACCCTTTTTCATTTACTAGGGGCTTTCACTGGTATTTTGTTTCCATTTTTCCTTCATTTACGAATTTACCGTTAAAACAGGCGTGGCCCATTTTTTAACCGGTGTTTTTTTTCAAACCGCTCCCCCACTGGTAGTTTTTGATACATGGTTCAGCGTCCCCTTTTCCCCCCCCCAAAACTTTTGTTTTACCCGGGGGGGGGGGGGAAACGGTGTGTTTTTTTTAATTTTTTTTCCCCCTCCTTTCCCCCCTTTTTTTTTTTTTTTTTTTTTGGTTTT